AGGGGATTGTTTGGAGCTCGCAGCTGTCCGGCGGCGCTTCCTGTGAGATTGTTACAAGCTACCAGGTGCGTGTTTGTTTGAAACGCTGCGGCGTCTGTAGTGATAACATTTGAAATGACGACAATATGAAGGCAAAGTTGTGATCCGCTAAGTGTCTGCTCTTTTGACGCGATATCTGCAGGAAAGTTTGCGTGGATTTTTAATCGGGATTTGACTGCAGCATGAGGAACCTTGAGCCAAAAGCTGTAATTCCTCATTATGATGTTTAATAAAGCCCATTCTGCTGATATTAACAAGACAAGTCAGCAGAACAAGTGAGGCTAAAATGAATCACGTGGATGTTTTAAACAACTGTTTAGTTCAAATAAAACCATCTTTTTGCACACGTTGTTCGTGTTGTTGCGCTTTCTGCTCCTTTCACGATTCATCCACGGACAGCCGGCTGTTCAGTGGCCGGGATAAATGCATTGTCACGGGGTTGGCGGCTGCCCAAACTCTTCTGTCCACCCAGCCACTGTTTCTACTGAAACACTGCAAGCAACAACCGGATCTTTCCTCTCCAGCTTTGATGTTTTGTTTTTTCATAGCAGTGTGGAGCTCACTATGGTGCAGCTGTCTCCTTCACCTACCCTGGATATCACCTTTCCACCTGAGAACTCAAAAGGAAGAGAAGAGGACTCGGTCGCTGATGGTCTCCTGAAGATGGGCTCACCTGCTGGGTTGAACACGCTGCAGCTCAACATGGAAATCTCCACTGCTTACTACGGCTACGAAACCTACATAGAAGATGGCCTCATCTGCCTCAAACACAAAATCCGCAACCTAGAGAAAAAGAAGGTAAGTTTCTGACAGTGCTGTGAAAGTGGGCGCCTGCTGTTTGTGACGCGTGTCGTCCCCGCAGCTGAAACTGCTCGGCTACAGGAAGAGACTGAAGCAGGGTGAGGTTCTAAACAAAGATCAAATGGTGAGTCCAGCTAGTAGTGACGTCTTAAATGAGCTCTGTCTCTAGAACCTGCACTGGTGATTTGAGCTTTCGATTTCCATTTTAGGCGGCTGTGGAAAAGTACGAGGAGGTGCTGCACAACTTGGACTTTGCACGAGAGCTCCACAAAACCCTGGATGGCTTGACTCAGAATGTAAATGTGTCCCTTTGTCTTTATATCCTGGCTCGCCGTTATTATGCCCGGGGTATTAGGTTGCTTGTGCTGTGTTTGTCTCCGGTGCATTAGATGAGCATATCCAAAATGACTCCTGGTAATTCGATGATATTGGTGGGCTGTGGGCTGCCCACCAGTTAGAAATGTAACCTGTGCTTTTCCTTTTGTTTTTGTTTTGTTTTTTTAATAAATTTTATTTTCAGTCACAGCAGCATGTTAATAACAAAACATTGAACATAAAGTAGTTTGCTGTTCAGTATTTACAATACCCCAAAAGATAACAGAAATA